AAGGACGTTTAATAGTCCTCAGAAGGATAAACGCCATGCCGTTAGATTGTTAGGTTTCAAAATGCTTATCAAATTAAGTAGCCTATGGGTCTTTTTCAACAAATATTAGAATATATTATTTTTGCAGTTGTGAAGCGATCGAATGTGTCATGTGATTTTTCGTTACAGGCGTTATTTTTTTAAAGTCGCTTAAAAAACTTATCTCTAATATATATAAATTGACCCTATTTTTTTTTTTCCTGTCGAAAATAATAAGTATTAAAAAATTAATATGAACAATAGAATAAAATATTAATTAAAAGTAACAATATACCAATTAAACATTAATTTTTGGTGCAAAAAGAGTGTAACAACCTCCCGATCTACTATTTCGAATGAACCTTCAAATATTTTGAATTTCAATTTTAAATCCAAACAAAAAAAAAGAAAAATTTTTCTAACCTGAACAAATTATTATTGACGAAAGAATTAAAAAAAAGTTCTCTCCAAATTAAATAAATATAATGTCGATGAAGATTCATTATGGATTGATTTTGCAGCTTATTTTCTGCCTTCTGCATAAATAGCAACAGCATTTCTGCGGCCAATATATAGACGCGACAAATGTCTATCATGACACTAAAAAATAAACTATACAAATATGAATACAATAATTGCGTCATCATCGTCGAGAAAGTTCGATTCGTTGATTCGTGCATTTTATTTACCATGTAAACTTCCAGGGCATCGGAAACGGGAAGAACGATCACGTGACTCGACAAATATCTCGGTAAGACTACCCACTCCAAACTTAGCAACGACTTCTAATTCGATTCTTCCCTTTTCATGGCATATGTAATTTTTAGAATTTTCATAAAATATATAAATATATACAGTATATATATATCTCTACACAGTATAATAAATTTCAGATATATTTACAATTATTTTACCCATGAAGCGTAGGATGCACACTTATTCCATAACCTCCTTAGTAGTTATATAGCACGAATTTATATTCCATCAGAAATTATAAGTTTTTTAAAGAATTAGAATTAATGTTACGCAATTAACATTCAAAAGATGGAAAATTAGGAATAAGATATAACAAATTTCAAAAGTATAAAAAAAAGTAAAATCAAAACAAGTCTTCATGAAATTACCAACACGACCTTAAGTAATTCCCATGGATTGCTCACTTAATGTAGCCATTAGATTTTATTTAAAGATCATATTTGGCGTTGCAAGTAAGTTTTTCATAAAAAAAAAAGAGTGGAAAAAAAAAGAAATCTTGGCGAATTTCACGTGTGAAGGAATTAAAATTTTTGATTTTTGCAAAGATCTTTAAGATACAAAAAAGGATTTATCAATGGCCTATTAAATTTTTATATATATACTGTTTATAAAATATATATATATTTATTTAATGAAAAGGAACCAATAAAAATGAAGAAAAAAAATCAATCGTTCGAGTACTGAATTTTTATTATTCTGACTATTTTGATTTATATAATGAATTGTATATCAGATTTACATTTATGTACAAAATAATTTATTATAGATATTATAATGAGAACGGTTATCATTAACGTCCATCAATAAAAATATTAGGAACCTCCATATTTTTTTCTCGCCCTTTTTTTTTTTTTTTTTTTTTTTTTTTTTAAAAAAAAAAAAAAACTAATTCCCTATATACTATTTAATGTTAAACTTTTCTTGAGTAGAGGTCAAGATTCCATAAACTTCGACCGCTATAGTAGGTTCCTTATAAAACCATCTCTCCTTAATTTCTCAGCCATAAATACATCAATCATTAATCTCTATTAAATTACGTTACTTCCTGAATTTCTGAGGCACACTAACACAATCTCCAAAGAAATCTGCAAATTTCCTAAACCCATCTTCACTGACGCCTTCGGCACCCCTAATCTTCAATGTGTTTAAACTTTTAACGGGATACTTATAAAACATTTCTAAATGTTCATCAGTTATACAAGTACAAAATTGTAACGATAACCTTTGCAATTGAATCGATCTCGTCACCATCATACCTTTCCTCGTACCATCTGATAAAGGTACTGTCGAACTCGAGGTCTTATTAATATTTTGTAAAAATAATCCAAAAACTTCAGCGCTAAAGTTCCAATTCATATTAATATTGAATTTAATTAATGATGACGGTATCGATTGTCCAACCCTTGCTAATAAATCTTCAACATTGATAGATTGCATATCCTTCACTGATGTGTGAAAAGATCGTGATTGATATTTTGAATCATATAAACTTAACCGTTTCAAGTTTCTACATGAACGCAATAAGGATGGTAAATAAGCTAATTGACTTTCATTGACACATGCCAAAATCTGCTTTATATTCGGACAGAATTCAACGAATGGCTCCAGGATGAAAGAAGAGGATGAAGTTGAGATGGAGTTAAACCTTGCTGATGTGTTATTATTATTTGTAAAAGGATTTGGTAAAGGAGGCGTATCCATAAACACCTTTCCCATCAAAATAACCGTTTGTAAAGAATCGCCTGCCAAAGAGATTAATTTTCTGTAAAGTTCAAAAGGAAGTCTGCTTGAACTAAAAGTAATGGCCTTTAATTGACGAAATTGATGTGTCTTTCCCGTGATTATAACTTCATTCCCATAATTCCTACAATTAACAATTTTTAAAACTTTTAAATTTTTACAAGTTAATAATTGATCCAAAGGGAATCTCTCATGAAAATTAATCGACAAGAATTTGATCACGGTTAAAGTATTTGATTGAGTCGTTAAAGAATCAAAAACTTCATTCTTGAATATCGTGTTTAATCTTCCGTCTGATAAGATAATTTTCTTTAAATGCTTTTGAGACCTTATCAAGTGAGCCAATCCATCCATCGAAGAGTCCGATGTTACCAAATCATCACCGTTAGAATGTTGAGGTTCGAGACAACGAAAAGTTATATAACGAATATCATTCGCCATTCCTGCGCAAGAATCAATTAGGCCTTTTGTATATTCTCCAAAGAAATTACAGCTACGTAGTTTTGCAAAACTTTGTCTTGCCCCAGGAAATAAGAAAATATTATCATTAAACAGCATATTCTTTTTAAAATCCACTCGATCAAATTTTGGAGAATTATAAATGAAATGCTGAATTAAAGGTTTGAACAAACTAAAGGAGGAAAAAGGAATTGCCCAACAACGAAATGCCAATAAGATTTTTTCACAATCGAAAACTCGTAGGAACGTGGAATAATCGAAAGTTGATTTTTCAATTGTTGAATCAATGGAACCTCGTTCTTCCATTGAGAGGCGAGACATATAAGTATTTATCAGCAGTATATAACGTTTGGCCGTCAAATCCCTTCCAAATGGATTTCTCCAAAGTATTGGAATAGTGATTTCACACCAGCTTCGATTCACCAAAAGACAGGAATGCAAAGAAATTGTATCATCATAAAGATACTCTAAAATTTCTCTAATACATTCAACCGGTAAACATGTCATTATTATAGCTAGAAAATTAAATAAAATTTATTGAAATTTTAATTACAAATTTCCAAAATTGGATTTAAAATTGATTATTTACCTGATAATATATATATACTGTATATATATATATAAAAAAAAAAAGAGAGGGAGAGAGAGAAATAATTGTTGGGTAAGAAAAGAACGTTGGCGTAAATTTTACAAACAAACAATTATTTTTATATATTTATTATCATACGTCAGCGGAAAATCAGTAAAATCTGTGTAATTTTATATTTTTTTTAGGATCTCATAATAAACATTAAGCCTGAGGTTAAGTTATATCGATAACAAAAATCATTGGTGGAGATTGAAGATAAGATGACGTGGCGCATGCCTGTATCACAAAAGTTACTCAAAAGGAAAGATGGTACCCTCTCTACAATCACACCCTTCGGGACCGCCTAATGGTGTGATGTATAGAGGTGTGCTTATACAAAAAAATTTTTTTTTAGATCTCTTTCAGTTCTGGATTCTAGGCGGTTATTTCTTTTTTTTTTTTTTCATTTCTTCTTTCGTTCCTTTAACATTTCTAAAATTCTAATATTCCTCTTTTTTTTTTAGATACAAGATTAATCCGAATCGAGTAGGACCATTGACCATCTTTAGTTTTATGTGAACATTTAATAAAGTTTATCTTAAAATAAAGTAATTTTACGTGATTTATTATAATAATTGAATGTTATTGACCGATTTGTCACGCGATGATGTGACTATATAAAGGGAAATTACTATATTATTTATTAATATATCGGCCTGATAATTGATGTGATGGTGATTATAATTAATATGTGATTATAAAGGGGTATTTTATATTTCGGAACAAAAATATAGTGTGCTTATAATTTTCCGACATGTAATAAAGGCATGCATTCAATCCCCAAATCTTTAGAATCGCAGTTTGTTACTTCGATCCTCGGAATAATCTTTAAAATTTACTAATAATTGGATTCCCTAAATAGATTAGTATTTTCTTATCGTGCAAGTCACATGAGATGGTACAAGAAATGTAGTTTGGGCAAAATAATGAGTTTTATGTAATATTGTGTTACTACTGTCGAATCTTTCCATATAATAGAAAAATTAGCTAACCCTTTTCCTTCTACCCGGTTTGTATTTTTTTTTCATTCACTTTTATTTTTTATTAATTGCTAGATTAAAAACTTCAAAAATCCTTTTCATTTTTAATTTATTTTTTTTTGTTTTCCGAATTTCGTATTAGTTGAAAAAGGAATAATGCGAAACTGACAAACTGACATCGCTAACATGTGGCTAATAATGTATCACCCTGCATGAACACAAAAGTTGACATATAAATAAGTTTCATTTTCCCGGAAATTTCGTTACTACACCTCTATTTTATTATTTATTTACCTTCCTTTTTTTTTTTTATTTTTTTTTTATTAAAAAAAAATTAACCTTCTTTACCACATTTTCATCCCTTTTCAGAAATTAAAAAATAAAAGGTTTAAACAAAATTATATACAAACGGTATAACCATGCCAGAAATATACGATACAGTGAAATCATTTAAACAACTATCCTGCGATTTTTTAAAAATATTAGATCAAGAAGAAACTTTTGATGTCATTATTTATGTTGGTAATAATTCTAGCAGTGAAACATTTAAGGCTCATTCAATCATTTTAAAAAATCGGTCAGAGTATTTTAGAGCCGCATTATCTGCTGTATGGAGTAAAAAGAAAGAGGATGGCTATTATGTTATTGATTTGCGCGGTATGGACATACCGCAGGCTATCTTTGGTCATGTGCTCTTGTATGTATGGGATTTTTAATTCATTCGATTTTTGTTATTATTCTCTTGCCGTATTCTCTTTTCATTCTTTTGTTCTTTCTTCTCGAAGAGTGATAATTTAAGTGAATTGAGATTTTTTTTTTTTATTATTATTCTCACTTTATTATTTATTTTTTTATTTTTATTTTTTTTTAAAAAAAAACTGAACATTTGATTTCTTATTTATTTTATTTATTCATTTATTTTAGTTATATATATGGTGCATATTTAAACTTAGAAAAAGTAGGGGTTTCAGAAAAATTACAATTATTAAAAGCAGCAGACGTATTAATGATGGATTCTTTTGTAGATTATATGGAAGCCGATTTAATACGAGACGAAAAATGTTGGATCCACGAGAAAAGTAGTGAAGTCCTTTATGTAGCTTTACAAATTTCAAGGTGTAAAGAATTAGTAACGTTGTGCAATAACGCAATACTTCGACACCCCAAAGCTTTTGTAAGCTCCAAGGAATTTTTATTTCTTCCATATGATTATATGATTGGTTTATTAGAGCGAGACATATTTGGGTTAGAAGAGATAGATATATTTGCGGCGGTGATAATGTGGGGGATAAATAACACACCTGGAATTTCACTTGTTGATGATTTTTCAACTTGGACATCAGAAAATATATCAACATTACAATCAAACGTGATTAATTTACTTTCTTTAATAAGATTCTTCCAAATGGAACATGATGAGTTTATTAAAAAAGTTGGACCTTTAACAAAAGTTTTTTTACCAGAATTGTACGATCAGGTTATTGAATATCATTCAAAAACACAATTTCAATTTATTTATGACATTCTGCCTTTAAGGTTAAATAGTACAATCATAAAAGAGAAAGAAGAACCAGCACTGATATCATATTGGATCCTTCATCCCGATACAACGGATGATAATCCCGAAAAAAATCCTTATACGACATTTGATAAAATTCCGTTTGATTTTCATTTAATATTTAGATGTAGCGGTGCTGAATTGGCTGAACAAAAATGGCGAGAACAATGTTACAATCAAGGACCAACCATAACAATAATCAGAACTAAAAATCAAAATGAAGATGAGGCTGTGTTTGGTGGGTATAAAAGTATCAGTTGGTCAGCAGAGAATCAAGAAATGAGAATTGGTGGTGATGGATTTATATTTGGTTACCTCTGGCAACAAAGAAAATTACTATTACCTTGGATGTTAAGAGTGAATAATCATTTGGATGTTAACATGTTTTTGGGAGATGGGATCGAGGTCTTTATTGATTTTAGACATGGACAAAAATTATTGGCTCATGCTAATGGATTTCAAGATTTAGAAGAGACGATTGAGGAGTTGGAAGTGTTTAGAGTCGTTCGGAAAAAAATGGATGACTGACGTTAGATGATTGGGTGAATGGACTTGCGAAAAAATGGAGGTCATCGACAATTTGTTGCATCATGAGTTACAAAAAATATTTTTTGATGTGTGTGATGATATGCTGTGAGTATTTGAAATATTATTTCGAATTTACTTTCTTTTTTAAACAAAATTATGATATTATACTCGGGTTGGCATATTATTAGAACAATATAATGTACATTTTCTTATCTTTAGGATGTTTATATTTGGACTTTTTTTTTTTTTTTTGATTTTACAAAAATTGACATTGGTGGTAATTTATCTTTTTTTTTTTTTTTTTTTGTGTGTGAGACAATATTTATATTTATAAATTACAACAAAAAAAAAAAAAAAAAAAAAAAAAAAAAAAGATGGATTTTGTGGAAAATCCAAAAAAAAATAAATTTTTTTCTAAGGACGTTTAATGTTAATTTAAGGGTTGACATTTTTATTATCCCACAAATTTAATTAATATTAATCCCCTTTTATTTTACAAATCTACAACTCCACTCCACTATACTTTCAATTCACTTTGCTTTGGATTGTACTCTCTTTTCTATGTATCACGGATAGTTTGATGTTTTATTCATTTTAGTTAATTTCCTTTTTATTCATTTATTTGCAAAAAAATCAAGTGTAAGATATATATTTATATATATATTTTATATATATATATTTTTTTTTTAAAAAAAAAAAAACTATGCTTCATAACATTTTCATAAAATAAAAATTTTGTCCATACCAGTATTTTCTATATAAATATTTGATTTTAAAATAAATAACACAACTACATTTCACAATAACTTTCAAACAGGTCATGACGTTAATACCTGAGTCGAATTACTTTTTATTTTCTGTGGAATGTTCAGGTCCTTCTCACCATTGGCACGTAATAATCAACCCTAGTTTATACGTTAATCGCGCATTGGCACAGTAGTTGTCCGAACGCGTGTTCAGAAGTGTTCAAAGTTGACAAGTTGTCATGGTATTCAAGAAGTAGTGGGTTAAAATTGTGCCTTCTTCATATTCCCCGAAGGAAAACCTGGAAAGTCGAATTGAGAACCAGTTGATTTTGATCAAGTAGTCTCTAATGATTAGCGAATTCACTATCCGAATAATTTGTTTATCTAGACAAAATTCTCTCAAAAGAACTTATTATAATGCCAGGAAAAAAAAAACCGAATTTCTTTTTTATGTATTATGTGTAATAAAAACATTTTGGAAATATTATTCTTTCTTTTATTAAATTGAGGTCTTTGTGATGTAACAAATTATTTTATATAGCGTTTATATTGTGTAAATGAAAATTTATCTTAACTATAATGGAAATCGAGAGTAGGATCTCTTTTGTAGCTTGTAAATGCAGATGAGATAAACCAATGGGGGTGGCGTGCGAATGGTTCAACAAATCCAGGCAAGGTAAATAAAATGATTATCATCATGACGCTCCGTTGCAAAATTGATTTCAATAAACTTTTTTTAGAATCTGTTTCTCTTGTCGATCCAGTGATACCTTCCCAAATCACCAAAATAATTCCATGTAACATAAAGAAAAATAAATGCTCGCCCGAGTATTTATTCAAAAAAATCAGTAAAAGGTATTCGTGCAATAAAGCACTCATTGCGAACGCTGCTAAAACTCCAATTAACTCACTAAACCTCTTTGATTTGTTAATGAAAAGATTACGAGCTGGTAAATATGCCAATTCTTTAAAACTTTCCTTTAAGAATAATTGCCATCTATTCGACCAAAGATCTCGGGGAGATGTTGAGAAATAAGGATACATGAATATGTGTTTTGTATCATATGCCATGGAGATACACCATTCTTTAATATATTTTATCTGTTGCTTTTCGAGAAAGAGAATTTCCTTGTCATTATTTAAGGTGATAAGAAATCTTAACAATAATCCATTTAAAACGAGAAAAAAATCGTAGCCTAAAGATAGAGATAAGATGATCACCGACGTACCAACAGCGTAATAAAGCAATAAAAATTGATTTAGAGCTGGAATCCCTTTAGTGACCCAATTGAAAATTCGAACCGGATAACTTTCTTCAGGTATGTCGGGGACATTATACGTTAACCACCTATAACACATTTCGAATAAAACCCATTTAAGAAAAACTAACGCAACGCGTTGAATTATATTCAGATTTATCTCTCTTATCGTCAACTTTGAATCCTTTTTCTTAACTTTCGTGTCATCATTTGGTAATGTCCTCCAGAAGAACATCGTCAAATAAAACGGTCCTATTTGTTTTTCTTTCTCGGCGTATAAACATCTTTTTAACCAAATCATCATCTTAAAACTCCAACCAAATGCTAAGGCTGCTATTGGCGATATCTCGATCTCTTCATATTCTCCTCGATATACGAGTGGAAGTGCGAGTAAATATATGATTATAACGATCAGGCTAAAGTATCTTAATTTTGTTTTTGGAGGTTCCAAGGAAAATGCGATGAAAACAAAGTACGGAATAACGAAAGCAATTCGAAATATTTGGAAAGGTAATTTTGGTGGAAAATCTTGGATTGAAATCATTTTTCGAGACGGGAATGAAAAAAAAATTTTTTCAAAATTTATTATTGTTTTGATGTGTTACATCCTTCGGGGCGCAACATGTATGTACGTTAAAAGTCACTTGACAGACAAAGAAGATGCCACAAAGTGAAAGTGTCACGAATTAATAAAATTAAATTAACGTCATTTATTGACTTGCATCAGATTTTCGTCATCATAACCAAAAGAGTTGACAAGTTTGATGTAATGAACACACCAATTATATTTTTATTCATCAAGTTAGGAAGCACAATCACTTTTTACACATGTTATCAACCCTTATCTAAAATCTTTTATTTATATATATACCCAAATATTTATTATTTTTTTATTTGTTTTTATTTTTTATTTTTTTTTTTTTTTGAAAATGCCAGCAGATTCCGGTTATGTTAGTACCGGTTCGAAAAACCGTAATTCGTTTATTCAATGGATTCCACAGCATTCTTTATCAATGAACGATTCTTTACTTTCCACTCCATTGTCAAAACACCTTCACTCTACAACTCGAAGAATTTTCATAGGACCGACTCCTTCAAATTGGTCCTACAAAAAAAATTCGCTTTGGTTTTCAAAAAGTGATCAAGCTACTCATCACAATAGTCCTAACAGGCAGAGAACTTTTCGATCTGAACCTGAATTTAGAGGTCCCACTAATATCGCTTCACTGGATTTTTGTGAAATACGTGAAGACAAGTAAATTCATCTATAAATCAAATTGTATTTTTTTCTTTGTTTAAACTTTCATGAGAAATTAAGTCAAAAAAAATATATATAAATATATATATATTTTTTTAGTCATTCTCCAGCTCAATTAACTCGTTTAACAGATATACCTTACTTAGTTTCTGAACCCGAAGAATTGATTGATAACGAAGTTAGTCCTTTTTCTGATGATGACATCTTTTATACACCCAATGAAGAACCCCGTTCATTCCCCGTTACCCCTCCATATCAAGGTCGGAGATCCTTTTCGCAGAGAATTTCAATGCCTGAGAGATCTATTCACGAAAATTTATTTGATGAGCAACTTAACTTTAAATTAATGAAACGTATAACCGAAGAAGAAAGCAAGTCACGTGAATATTTTCCATCATCGACGATATCATCATCAAAAAATCCTCATCATCCAAAAAATGTTCCTGAATATAGTCAAATCGTAGAAAACATTCATGTAAACGATCAAGATCAAGGGGATAATCATCCAGTTGAAGATGCAGATCACGTTAGTTCAGTATCTAATCCAACGCAACTACATCCTGATACGATCATAAAAGTCGATCGTTTGTTGGTTAGGACGGAGCGCATTTATAACCGGGGAACACCAACGCTTTACAAGAGATATTCTTTAAAGGGTCATCTCAGTAGGAAACAACAAACTCAATCAGCGGGTTGGAGAGAATACATCGTTAAATTACGTCCTGGAAGGATAGAATTGTACAAAAACAATGTATATTTCTTTAACAATATTAATATTATTATGATCATTATTCGATTTTTAAATGCATATGTGTATATATCATTTTAGTTTATTTTATTTGTTTAGAAAGTTCGAGTATCTAAAATGCGATTCACCGAAACAACCCGATTGGGACTTCTTTCAGCGGTTGATTATACCATATCACTCAGACAACGATCTGGAAGCGGGATGAAATTGAAAGTCTTTGTGCTCAATCCAAAGACTATAGAGCAGAGTGTCGAATGGTATCGTATACTATATGCTACACTTGGTGAGCAATCGGTCAATACAATGCCTTCCTTATGTGAAGTGTATGTACCAGATTTTGATGTTCACGTGAGAATTCCGTTAGAGGAACGTGATCAGGCTTATAATATCACAGCAGAGGATATTACTAAATTGGTCTTGGATGAATTGAGTGGGGAGCCGGAATGGGAAGATGTATTATTTGAGTGGCTAAAGTCTTGCGACTTGAGATTATGTTGGAAGAGATATGATCGATTGGAGTGGATTGTTTGGGAAAAAAATGAAGAAGGCAAAGTTCGAAATGATTTACTGGCTTGTCCACAATTTATTGAAGCGGTAATTATTTAAGAAATTTATTTCTTTTTTTCTTTTTCGTTTCTTTTTTTTTTTTTTAATATATTTATTTGTTAGACACATCAACTTCAATTACGTCCGACTGAACATTATCCGACTTCTGTCCATTTGAAAGATGGAACAATATTAAATGTTTGTAAATTTATCTTTTTTTTTCATATATTGGTCGAAGACGTATGAACAACTTATAATATGTTTAATAATAGGAACCTCCTCCGGTCGAGGGATATCTTATTCGGGTTACAAACAACAAAGGCAATAGGAAACCTAAACGATTTTATTTTACTTCTCATGATCATTACCTCTTTTTTTTAAAGCCATTCGCAGCCAGTCCGCCTCCGCCTCCGCCTCCGCCGCCGTCAGTTCCAACATTAAATTCGGATGAAGAGCGTCAGCAAACCGCACAACCATTGATATATTCAGTTGCACCACTACCACAAGGACAATGTGGTGGTCATATCGATAATTTTATGAAAGCAGACGCAAAAAGACGTGTAAAACAAATTAAGAATGCCATTGGATTCATAAATTTGGCTGATGTGGTGGAGGTGAAATTTGCCGACAAGGGCCATTTGGGGATCATTGAAGTCGAGAATCACGAACGTTATTTTGATTTAGTTTTAAATAATGGCACGGTCATCACCTTACAGGTAAGCTTTGTTGCGAAATAAAGATAAAATAAATAAGGTTCGGAATGATGAATTATTTATATTGTTAATTATAGACGTATTCTAGACAAACATTGGATGAATGGATTAAACGATTGGATGAACTTATAAAATATTGGAAGGCTCGACTAATATCGGATGTTCATACACGAATTAATATGTTTAAAGTGAATGTGGATTATCATCAGGAAGATGATGATAATGCCAGTCAAGATGGGATACACAGTCATTGGAATAATTTTCACTCCTATGTAAATACAGCCATTTGGCATTGGTGTATTTTGAATGGATGTCGTGGAATTACTGTAAAATCGAAATTACTTTCATTTGATAATGTTCAATTTTCCCTTAAACAAACTTACCTATATTTTGATTCATTTTTTATTAGAAAGGAGGTTTATTATATCATAAAACACACCTTCGCGGCACATTCCAAAATTATCACCATATTCTTATAAGAGGACATTTATTATACTATAACTTATATACACGAAGTTCATTGAGTGGTACGGCAAAGCGACAAAATTTTCATAAACGTCGCGGATGCATTCATTTAACGGATTGTTATGTGTATTCCGGAGGTATCACGGAAAATGATTTACTATATTCAAGTTCAAGCAGATATAATATATCAGATAACGGAACACATAAATTGCCAAGAATATATCCAGATGGCATGTATTGTTTTGATGACGATGAAGAGTGTACCTTTGTTATATGGCAAGGAGAGCAAAAATATTGTCTTGAAAGGGATAAAGAGAAAAGTAGAAATAGCATATGTTTAAAAAAGACAACAACATTGGATCGTCCTGGAAATATTTGGGTTTTTAGAGCTAGAAGTAGGATTGAAAGAGAGGAGTGGGTTTGGGCTATTAATGTGGAAATCGAAAGAGCTTTGAAGGAAATAAGGAAGAAATAAGTGATTTATTTAAAGTGTGAAATTGCTTAGTTGGCGACTGGTATGTTTGAATAGACATTCTTTGGGACATTTTGGAATTCTTTCATAGCAAAGGACATTTAAAAAAATAAAACAATGTTTAAAAAAAATCTAAGTAAAGTGGCAATGCATGATCGGAAGAAATTAATATTTCATATCAATACATCTTAAAATCATATATACTGTATAATTTATGTTCAAATTTATTCATCCTAAAGGCAATTATTTGTCTTTTTTATTTTTAATTTTAAAATGGTAGATCAATCTCCCTTATCGCCCTTTAAGCTCGTGCTTTGTCCTCCGCTTTTTGTTAATTTCATGTTACTCCTAATGTCGAAAGTTTTCGAAAAGGTGGTATTAAACCCGACAAACCACACTAATCGCAAATCTTGTGGCAATAAGCGAATAATTGCATAGATGCAGATAACATCAGACAAGGATAAGGGTTTGGCTTTTCACTCATTACATGGTAAAGACGGTTGAAATTTTTACGATCATGTAAGAAAAACAACCTTTACACGAAAAATTACCAATTTTTACCATAGGTGAACTATCCTATTAAAGTTCAAAAAAATTAATCATTTCGAAATATAACGAAATTTATTAATAATCAATCTCCTATATATAATTCCAGTCAAAATGTATATTGATTGTTCGCTTTTTCGATTATTCATTCGCCTTCTCACAAAAAAAAAAAAAAAATAGCTAAATCGTTAACTGGTGCACGTAATTAAAGTGTTAATTGAGTGGCGTTCATTAATTAAATTCATTTGCGATAAGTAAAGATCCTTCTTCAGATTACATGATACCTTGTTGAAATTCTTCAATTTAATCTGACCTATTCAAAACTCTAATTTTTGTTATTAGGTTGAATAAAGAATTATATTAAATTTTAAAAACTAAAAGGAGCAATAATATTTTTAAAAAAAATATACGATTTTAAAATTACTAATGACTAGAATTTGATGAAAATAATATTTATCATTGGAACTGTCTTATTGAAAGCTTTTTAACAAATAAAAATGAAATTTTATTGACAGAAAAATGAATTAATAGATGATTTTACAAATCATTATTAAAAAGAAGCTGTAATTTCTTAATCACAATCCAATGACAAAAATACATAGATGAAACTTCAAATAATAAAAATACTAATTAAAGTAATATAAGTTAAAATAATTAAATAGGTTTATTAAATTAAATGAATAATGAAGTTTATAATATTTCTATTGTTTCGTAAATTTACTTTATCTTTAATAAGTAATAAAAGTAGATTAAAAATTTTATATAAATAGGATAAAAATTTTATCAAAATAGTTTATAGTATTTATTATTTATCACTTATTGCAACTAGTTACAACTTGATAATATCATAATTAATTATATCAATGTGATAATTATTTGTCTTTTATTAATTTAAATTAATAATTCTATTAATTGTTAAATAAATTATTAATCTTTAGAAACCTGAAATTTTATTATATATATTGTTAATAAAACAAATGAATGATATTAATATTGTTACATGAAAGAAGACATAGATAATGATGATCTAAAGGATGACATTGATCCCTAAGAAATCATATATGTCTTCTATGTCATCTATATCATCTATAACATATATTTCTTTTATACAATATATTTTTTTTATTTATTTTATTTTATTTATCTTATATATCTATTATATTTTACTTATTTTATATATTTTATTTATTATATTTATTTCTTTTATATCTTCAGTAACTTTATATTTTCTATTTTATATAAATAGAGGACAAATTCCTTTAGCTTAGCAGTGTATCTAACTCATAGTTTTATATAATAGTTTAGTTTAATCTCTCTAATATAATTGTATAGTATAGAGCGCTGACTGAGGCAGTACTTTATTATTATAATTATTAAATAAACTGTTAATATACTGACACTCTTTTAAATCTAAATATCAAATTAAATCTTCTACTTATCACCCATAAATATTGCTTCACTTATCACTCATAAGCATCTTAAAGAACTGACTGTAATAATATATATATTTATAATTTTGACATTATTTTTATATAACTTGATCAAATTAATTAACAATTTCCTTAATATAAATCAATTTTAACCATATGATAAACATAAATTTATCATGACTAAATCTTAATTATAAGGCCTATAATAAATTTTTGACTTGTTACAATATGGTTTCAATTTTAAAAAATCCTGCAAAGTTGTAATTTTATAAAAAATCTATAATTTATCTTTCTACTGAAAAAACTAGGATTTATATCTTATTTGAAGAAGAATTTCCTCCTACTATATAGTAAAGAAAAATATTTTCAATTAATATAAAGATAAAACTAATAATAATAAAGATCAATCTAAATCTAATATATATGAATAAAAAGTTTTAAGATTAATTACAACAGGTGATGTAACAATATTATTGCAATTCAAAAAAAATTAAAAGGAGAAAAACAAATTGAAGTTAGTAAATATACAATAAAGAAAACCTTATATAAAAATGAAATAAGTGTAAGAGTTAAATATAAAAAATTACATTTTTAAAAACATAAAATTGCAATAATAAAATTTGTAAAAGTAAATATAAATCATAAATAGTTGAAAGTGATTTAGTCAAATGAGTCAAAATTTATGATTTATAAATCAGTTAGTAAAGAGTATAGTTGAAAAAGTCAGAAGAATCATTAAGAGACTATTATATCAAAATTACAATTAAATTTAAATAGGTAATATTATGATATGAAAATGTTTTACTTTAATAAAATAACATATGGAAACCCCCACAGCCAGGGTTGGGAAATTTGTATGTACTAGGCAAATTTTGACCTTGTACTTGTACTGTACTGTACTAAATTTTATATTA